GCCAATGCCTCCAGGTTGTGGAAGGGCCTCACGTTTTCCCCAAGGGGTTGGGGTGCAGTCCGGGCGGTAGGTTTGGTGGTCCCCACCATGGAGGGGAACCCAGGAGCGCGCGCACACGGCCCGGCAAGCGGGGAGCTCACCCCCGGCCCACAGCGCGCTCGCCACGCCCGCCCCCACGGGAAAATGGGCACACTCGAGGGCAGTAAGCCCCGGAGCACCGAGACCCCCCTCCCAGCCATCAGGAAGAAAAGGGAGATAGGCAGGCAGAAAAGGGTCGATGGAATGTCCCAGGGAGTGAGGGCAGGAATGGGGACTGTGTGACCGCGGCAAGCTGGGTCCTGTCGGCGCAGAGGTGCGTTCAGTTTGTGGGTGTCTCAGCCACCAGGGAAGCCTCCCAGCTATTACCCAACCATGTTGACGGGAAAAGTGTAAGAAACGCTGTTTGCTTCTGAGTGAGGCTTGCTAAGCCCTACCAGAGAAGCCAGACAGGCGAGGTGGCCTTCAGCTGAGGTACAGGGGTGGGGGGACGAATGTGCAGAGGAAGGGGTCCTGGGTTAAGAGGACGTCTGGTTCTGTGGGGTTTCGGAATCTCTTGGGGCTCTCCTCAAACAGGAGAGAGAAGGTGCGTGTGGGAGGAAAATGCAGAGTAAGGGACACCCAGATCCAGGGAGGCTCATTGCTGTCTCCTGCCGGCATCTAACCCCCTCCCTGGTGCATTCTCTTGTTTCCTCAGCAGTAATGGGGGAGCCTGACTTCTCTGAAAGGGCCCCTCCTCCAGTTGCATCTTTGTCAGCTCTATCTGCTTCCTCCCAGTGTTAAGGCCCCCTCCCTCCCAAGCCATCGGAGCATGAGGAAGCCTTGGTTCCACACAGCTGGGCTTCTTGCTCACAGGCTAACACAGATGCCCTTTGCCCTTGTGAAGTAGGTGGGAAGTTGCAGAAGCTGAAACGGAGCCTGTGGCTGGGCACCAGCCCCTGGAATAGAGGAACTTTCACTGAGGTGAGGCTAGCTTTAAGCAAAACGCAATTCAGTTTCCCAGATGATGGCATTCTGGCTTAGTTTTTGTCCTCGTACCCTGCACAGGGATGCAAGTCGTGTTTAAGATCTCAGCACGAGATCTTAGTCAGTACACGAGGTTCAAATGGTAAACCACACAGTTTCTACTTGTCCTCCCTGGCCAGGGACAGCAGTGGGGACAGTAGTTAGAATCTGCTGGCACTAGCATCCTGCTTGCTGTTCCTTTGTTCAAGGTTGTCTTGTCCACCACTTACCCTTCATTCTCCCTGTTCTTGCTCAGGCTAAGAATAGTAAACCCAGGCCTTAACTCTTATCCCTCAGTTTTCTCACCTAACTGAGGTGAGAATAATGGTAGGGATACTAATGGTGCCTACCTCCCAAGGTGGTTATATGAGTTAAATGAATTTATATGAATTTAATATACATAAAGAGCCTACACATAGCAAGTAGTAAAGCATTTGCTATCATTATGGGAAGTTAGGTAATTTGTCCAAAGTCGCATAGTAAGTGAAGTTTGATGTCAGTCCAGGCCACCCGGCTCTGTAGCCATGCACTTATCCTGTGCTAGTGAAATTTTGCACTAGCAGAATTGGGAAATGGTATTCATGTGCATAGCTCATCCGTAACGTGGAGGAAACAGTAGCTGCTAGGGGCTAGGAGACATTTTTCTAGGAAAGAGCCCATTCATAATGGTGATGTCTGAATTTGTTCTCACTTTGTGACTGTTATAATTGTTTTATGGGTTTTTTTTAAATTGCACATGTCAATTGAGAAATTTATGACAATCAGATAATCACCCTGATGGTAGAAAACTCCAGGTCCTTCCAGCAGTGATATGAATCCTAAAACATTTCTTTGTTCCATATTTATAACCTGCACACCCATGCCCAGCACTGTAGTAGATAGAGGCGGGGGTGGTGAGCATTCTTAGCAGGGAGACAGTTCACTTTCTTCCTCAGCAGAGAATATGTGTGTCTATGGAAGTGATACCTTCAGTTGCCAAAAGGAGTAGTTCACTTAATGGTTAATATCTGACAACGACTTGTGGCAACAGACTCTGAGGTGGTCCATGATCCTTCCTTCTGGTCTTCATGCCCTGTGTAACCCCCACCCCCGAGTGTGGGTGAGATCTGTGTAGGTGGGGCTTATTATAGGGCAAAGGTGGTGGGATGGATATGATTATGTGTATATGATAATGTTACATAAAATTGGAACCACCTTCTTTACAGAGCAAGCTGGACGTTGGGGCTGCCTACAGAGGGAACAAGAAATTGAGGCCTCTCCCTAATGCCCCCAAGAAACTGAATTCTGCCAACCACCTCATGAGCTTGCAAGCAGATTCCTCCCCAGTCAAGCCTCAGATGAGACCTCAGCCCTAGCCAACACCTTGATGGCAGCCCTGCAGAAGTCCCAGTCCAGGATGTCCAGACTTCTGTGAGAAACTGTGATGTAATAAATGTGTACTGCTTTAACTGGCGACTTTTTTTTTTTTTTTAGTTGATTTCAGAGAGGAAGGGAGAAGGAGAAATAGAAACATCAATGATGAGAGAGAATCATTGATTGGCTTCCTCCAGCACACCCTCCACTGGTGATCAAGCCTACAACCCAGGCATGTGCCCTTGACTGGGGCCAAAGAGCTGCGTGTGGCTCGTGAGCCGCAGTTTGCCGACCACTGGGCTAGGGCTAAGTGGCAACTTTTGTCATTATATTGTTTTATAGCAACACAGAACTAATATAAGATTTAGTAGGTGAAAAGTCCTACATAGGGCTGTTAAGGGATACAAAAAAGTATAAGGAACCCAGTACTTGAGGAGTTTCCCAGCAGTCAAGGTGAGAAAGGAAACAGCATGGTTTTACTACTGGACAAAAAAGGAAAATAATCTTCTAAAAAGGCAATTTAGCTCCAATTCTAAGAAGAGTTTGTCATTTGGATGGTAGAATCTATGAACAGAGCCTAGTATCTGTAATCTTCAGTTCAAGATCCTTCTTCATCCGGCCTTCCTTCCTGCCTGACCTCTCGCCACATCATTCCTGCCTGTTTGCTGCCCTCCTGGACTGCTTTGTTGAGTTCTATGTTTCAAAGACCAGCTTCGCGCACCTCTTCTGCAAAGCTTTCTTTAGTTCCCTAGCAGAGCTAACCACTTCCTCCTCATCTCCCAAATCTTTGTTATATATTATTCATTTTCAAATTTTTATTGAGCACCAAGTTCTAGGCCTCCTGTTAGGTGCAAGATACTGTCACAAATACAGCACAGGGCTGTCCTTGAGGCGTACAGCTTGCCGGTGGCACCGTAGTCATAGGCCTATCTTCTCCTCATAGGGCCAGGCCCTGTCTGCTTCTTTGGCACTCGGCACCACACACACAGAAGCCACAGTCTCAGTGTTGGTTAAGTGAATGACTGATTATCTCATGATGGGATGCTGGCTTCCTGACAGGCTTTTGGGAATGAGTTTGCTGTAAAGTATGTCCCAAGTAGCTGAATTTGTTGGATATTATGATTTAGTGATGCCATGGGAACTCACAATTGAACATGTAAATGTCAGCAGAAACTGATTTCATTACCTGTAATTGATATGGGGTTGGGGTCGGGGGGGAGGAGGGAGCGAGTGCTAACCATAATTGATCAATAGGTTCAACAGCATTTTCAGGGTGTTGCTGGTTTATCATAATCCAGCTGCAGTAATATGAAAGGAGATAGGGAACAGCCTGTGCCAGTGAAAGGAGATATATGCATCTAATTTATCTTAAAAAAATGAAGGACTCTAGCAGCAAATTAAAAGAAGGGGGCCAAGTCGTGGCCCTATTAGTTCTGGTTGCTTGGAAGCAGCCCTAGGTGTTTATAAAATGGGGTTTTTGACTCCCTCGTAACCAGTGGCAGCCCTATTTGACAAGTCTGCAAAGGGTGCTTCCTGAGCTGTCGGGTGGAGTTTGGAAATGTCGGAGGGTCCTGGAGAGCACAGACTGTGGCCAAGAGGAGCAGCAGCCACTCCATCCTCCCACTGCCCCTCCCTTTCCTGGCCAAGGCTCCTGTGTCCAGTTTCCTGGAGACTCTTTTTCCCAGGCATCCTGGCCTGCAGGGAGGAATGAGGTGCTGCCTCGAGGTCCCCCAGAAGCAGGGTCCTGCCAACCTATTATGGGGCCACTCTCCAGATCCTGCATCTCAGATCTATTTTCTTGGATGTAGCCCATCTCTGCACCTGGGGCCTCCATTATCTCTGCTCAGAATTTTCAAGCCTCTCCCAAATCCTCCGATGGGAACCCCTGCCCCATCCCCAGACACTGACCAGGGCCTCTAGGGGTCCTTTCTGCAGCATGGCCAGGTTTCTGGAATCCGCCTGGCGTTCTGCTTTGTCCCTGGAACTTGTTTACTGTGGACTGCGGACTCTCCCCTGGGAGTTGTGGGGAGCCTTTTCCCCAGTGCTGAGGAACCTGTCTCTACTTGTTTCCTCACCGCCCCAGTTTGCCCTCCACCCTCTTAGGCAGAGCTAAAGTCCTCTTTTGATTTAAGCTGCAGGGAAATGGTCTCAGAAATGGCCTAAAGAGCTGGCCCCCAACCCCATAATCGAAAATATCCTCCTGTGACCCCTGCCTCTTGTATCAGGTCTCTGCCTCCCCCTATCCTCCCTAGAGATGCACTATTTTTGGTGTCCTATCTTCATACCCATTTTTCTGTTTGATTCTTGGGGCTTGGTGACCCTAATTTTGGCCTGAGGTCTTTACTGGGGGCCTGGCATTACTTTGGCACTCCTTTCAGACCTGGCACAAAGTTCTAGAAGGACCGCCTGCCGCTGTACTCCCTACTCCTCAGGGCCCTGCCCCTGCCCAGTCCCCAACTCCTGTCCCAGGATATCACTCCACTGGGGCAACTGCTATAAATCCTCTCCAGGCTCTGATCTCTTCCTCGACCAGGCAGTTTCCTGCCTATGGTGTGGGGTTAATAAACACTTCGGGAAGTCTTTGTTCTTAAAAAAGAAAGTCCTCTTTTTTTAAAAATACTTGAGCCCAGGCTGGTGTGGCTCAGTTGGGTGCTGTCCCATGCACCGAAAGGTTGCCAGTTCCATTCCAGGTCAAGGCACATGCCAGGGTTGTGGGCTTTATCCCTCGTAGGGGGCAAGCAGGAGGCAGCCATTTGATGTTTCTCTCTCTCCCTCTCCCTTCTCTCTCAAAAAATCAATAAGCCCTAACCGGTTTGGCTTAGTGGATAGAGCGTTGGCCTGCGGACGCAAAGATCCCAGGGTCGATTCTGGTCAAGGGCATGTACCTTGGTTGTGGGCACATCCCCAGTGTGGAGTATGCACGAGGCAGGTGATCGATGTTTCTCTCTCATCGATGTTTCTAACTCTCTATCCCTCTCCCTCTCTGTAAAAAAATCAATAAAATATATATTTTTTAAATCAATAAAAAATCTTTTAAAAACTAGTGATGAACATGATAAAAAATTCAAAAACAAAAATATGTTCTTCAATACCCTTGCTTTCTAGTTTCACTCTGCAAAGGTAACTGTTTTTGGTTTCTTGTTTCCTCCAGATATTTTCTTTTTCTTTTTAAAATATACTTTTATTATTTTCTCCCTTTATTGATTTTAGAGAGAGAGGAAGGGAGAAAGATAGAGAGAGAGAGAAAAACATCGCTGAGAAACACCGTCGGCTGCCTCCTGCAGGCCCCCCACTGGGGATCGAGCCCACAGCCTGGGCATGTGCCCTGACCTGGAATTGAACCAGTGACCTATTGGTACCTGGGTCGACACTGAGGCACACCAGCCAGGCTCCAGATATGTTCTAAGCCCTCCCCCACCCCCGACCCTCCAACAAAAAGCCCTGATTCATTTGCCAGTTTTCCTGGTGTAAGTATTCCCATCATAGCTGATTTCAAGCTACCAACATGACGTCAGTGAATGTGGAGCTGAGGAGGATCCTGGGTTTGATTAGCTAGGGATGAGAGCCAGCTCCAGCTCACCATGGTAAAATTATGTGTATGTCATTAAGCACACAGCCAGACACACGAACGGAATCATAGGACACCTACACCTTGCTTCTGACATTAACTAACTTGTTGGTAAGATGAAGCCAAGTATAGCAACCACAGCAGAATGGATGTATCAACCCATCTGCTCCTCATGTAAGATTATCGGTTGGAAGAATCTGAGAAGTGTGTGGCAGAAAACTATGAAGGGTCATCAGTTAAACGATGGGGTAAAGTGACTTTAAGATGCTAATTAGTGAGATGACATTTTTGAGAAATAAAAACCTTGGTTTGAATAAATCTTGAAGAAACAATATCAATTTCTAATGCAGTAATTAGGAGTTAAGAGAACCCTTAATTCAAGACAAGATTTAAACTGTTCTGCCAGGGATGGAGGGGAGTGACTCTTCACCTAGTTCTTTTTAAAACTTCAGTGGTTGATCAAATTTCCCAGCTAGAGAGAATTCAGGAATCTACAAAACCTGGAGAAAAGGGTCTGGTGAGAGACTTCACTGTGCAGGCATGTGGCCCTGAGCTTCCTCAATCTCTTCAGAAGCCCTGACATGGCCCAATTACCCGTCTTGGTGGCTGCCCAGGACTCCCTCCGAGTTCCATCAGGAAACATTTGTTTTGAAAACAGGCACTTGTGAAGAGGACTTCTACTCCCCGGGTTTCTGGGTGACTTCCTCTGTGGTTGGCTTGTCACTGTGCCTCCTGGCACCTCCGCAGGCATTCTGAGCTTCCAGTAGCCTTTGTCAGACGAGGTCAATTAGGGCTGGTGTCCACCTGTGCTCTGTTGGTCTGGGTTATTCTCTGGAAAGCAGCTTCTAATAAACAGTTGAAATGGAGTTTTGTGTACACTTTCAATGACAGCAGGTGATCGGTGGGGCACAAAGGGCCTCAGGCCGCACTGGCCACTGTGAACCCCTCATCTCCCTATCTCAGTCCTGGGAATGGTTGGACAAGGGGGCACCATGTGGAGCATTAGAACCACAAACCATTTGTTTATAGGAAAATTATAGTTTCTAAAGTACCCATCTCATGCCTAGAACCAAGCAAGGGATTCACTCTAAATGCTAAAATGTGCAAGTGTAAGGACCCCTTGATGCATCCCACTGGCCACTGTTCTGCAGCAGGAGGCTCAGCCAGCAGCCCTCGGGGTTCTCCTTAAAGCAGGTGGCAGATCTCAACCTTAGGAAGCAATCCCCCAGATCTTTTCCAGGGATACATCTTGGGCAAAGCACATAATGGGTGCATGAGAATATACAAACTGGGTATATACAAAGTTCAAAAGACTATCAGAACCAGATAGGTGAGCAATCTCTTTGTCTTAGCATAGACACATGAGGACAATGTCATTTCCGTTCGTTTAGGGACCAGCAGGAGGAGAAATGGATCATTATGAAGGCCAGATAACTCCCTGTGTTGATAGTCAACCCATCTAGCTTAAAGGGGGCGGGAGGGGAATAAGGGGCATAAAAACCTAGAATAAGGTTTGGTGTCTAAATG